ACCAGGCCAGGCTCTGCAGCAGAAGCAAGGCTCATACTCAGACACAGTGGGATACGCGCCCTTGGGAGCCAGGTCTAGTGAGGCAGAGACAGCATGGGACGTCAAGGTCTCCTACCCACAACCTGGCAGGCTCCCGATACTCTACAGAAGGCACTCAGCACAGAACCAGGCACCATAAACGGTAGCCGTCTTTCACAGTAACCCCTACATGAAGCTGCAGAATCAAGCACAGCACACCTTCCTGGGCTGCCAATTTCACTCGCTGATTAGGGAGGAAAAGGCATTCTTTTTTATATTAAAACAACAAACATAAGTATAAGTTGATGTTTTTAATTTTTTTTTTTTTTGCTATAGGGCACGTGTGCTCGCCAGACAGAGACAGAGAGACAGAAAGCGAGAAATCACTGGCCCCCCAGGGGGTATGGCCACGCCGCAATCCCTTCTCCTCCTTTCTCCTCTCGGGATCTTGGGCACACACGCACACGCACCTGGCGTGAGTTTTAAGCCACTGGGTCTGGGACGCGAACTGTGGTCGACTACATGAGAGTCCAGTGACATAGCTAACTGCTGGTCCCTAAGTTGGTGTTTTTGATATCAAACACAGATTTGGGACCTGTGCTGCCCTGCCCCTCCGGCCTTCTTGTTCACCCCACTTGCTACGGCCCAGCCCTCGAGTGGAATGCACAGACACATGGCTTCCCCTCAGGACCTCCTCAGAGGCAAGCCTGGAGGGACTGCAGTGACTGGAAACACGGCTGCTCAGAGTCGGGGTCTCTGCTGGTTGCTCCCAGCCCACAATTGTTTGGGCCTCTCCTCACAGTAAAATGTGGTGAACAATACCATGTTCAAGACCGTGATAACAGATGCGATGATGAATGTGACAGGCACAGTGCCTGGTCAATGACACGTGATTATTCAACCTCAGGTCACTGGGCCAAGGATATGGGGCTTAAGGGGCACAAGAGGTGGCACGGGAGTGACTAGGTCATCGCTGTTAGATCTCCCAGATCTTCCTGGGCGAGGGCGTGGGGCCCGCGTCCTCAGAGCAGAGGTCCCGGCTGGCCATTCTGCTCTGTGGTCTGGGATGGGAAGGTCCTAATTTGAGAATCCAGCTTTGACCCTAAATTGTATCCTAATTCTCCTTTGGCTCATTCAGTTGTTTTTTTCCTATATCTTAGGAGGCAAATTTTTGTTTCATCGTTTGGGAGGTTTTTGCTATAGAGTACATGTGCTTGCTAGAGAAACAGAGACAGAGAAACAGAAAGTGAGAAATCACCCCCCAGGGGGGATGGCCATGACACAGTCCCTTCCCCTCCAACCTCCTCTCTGGATCTTGGGCACGTATGCACACGTGGCTGGGGTGAGTTTTAAGCCAGGACCTTGAACCATGACAGACTACATGGGAGTCCAGCGATGTAACCGGAACAAGCTCCAGCACCAGGCCAGGCTCTGCAGCAGAAGCAAGGCTCATACTCAGACACAGTGGGATACGCGCCCTTGGGAGCCAGGTCTAGTGAGGCAGAGACAGCATGGGACGTCAAGGTCTCCTACCCACAACCTGGCAGGCTCCCGATACTCTACAGAAGGCACTCAGCACAGAACCAGGCACCATAAACGGTAGCCGTCTTTCACAGTAACCCCTACATGAAGCTGCAGAATCAAGCACAGCACACCTTCCTGGGCTGCCAATTTCACTCGCTGATTAGGGAGGAAAAGGCATTCTTTTTTATATTAAAACAACAAACATAAGTATAAGTTGATGTTTTTAATTTTTTTTTTTTTTTGCTATAGGGCACGTGTGCTCGCCAGACAGAGACAGAGAGACAGAAAGCGAGAAATCACTGGCCCCCCAGGGGGTATGGCCACGCCGCAATCCCTTCTCCTCCTTTCTCCTCTCGGGATCTTGGGCACACACGCACACGCACCTGGCGTGAGTTTTAAGCCACTGGGTCTGGGACGCGAACTGTGGTCGACTACATGAGAGTCCAGTGACATAGCTAACTGCTGGTCCCTAAGTTGGTGTTTTTGATATCAAACACAGATTTGGGACCTGTGCTGCCCTGCCCCTCCGGCCTTCTTGTTCACCCCACTTGCTACGGCCCAGCCCTCGAGTGGAATGCACAGACACATGGCTTCCCCTCAGGACCTCCTCAGAGGCAAGCCTGGAGGGACTGCAGTGACTGGAAACACGGCTGCTCAGAGTCGGGGTCTCTGCTGGTTGCTCCCAGCCCACAATTGTTTGGGCCTCTCCTCACAGTAAAATGTGGTGAACAATACCATGTTCAAGACCGTGATAACAGATGCGATGATGAATGTGACAGGCACAGTGCCTGGTCAATGACACGTGATTATTCAACCTCAGGTCACTGGGCCAAGGATATGGGGCTTAAGGGGCACAAGAGGTGGCACGGGAGTGACTAGGTCATCGCTGTTAGATCTCCCAGATCTTCCTGGGCGAGGGCGTGGGGCCCGCGTCCTCAGAGCAGAGGTCCCGGCTGGCCATTCTGCTCTGTGGTCTGGGATGGGAAGGTCCTAATTTGAGAATCCAGCTTTGACCCTAAATTGTATCCTAATTCTCCTTTGGCTCATTCAGTTGTTTTTTTCCTATATCTTAGGAGGCAAATTTTTGTTTCATCGTTTGGGAGGTTTTTGCTATAGAGTACATGTGCTTGCTAGAGAAACAGAGACAGAGAAACAGAAAGTGAGAAATCACCCCCCAGGGGGGATGGCCATGACACAGTCCCTTCCCCTCCAACCTCCTCTCTGGATCTTGGGCACGTATGCACACGTGGCTGGGGTGAGTTTTAAGCCAGGACCTTGAACCATGACAGACTACATGGGAGTCCAGCGATGTAACCGGAACACCAGCTGCTGGTCCCAGGAGATTTGGGTCCACTGACAACCACCCCCAGCCCATACTGTACCAGTACTCCGTAAGGACTTGGTCCAGGGCGCTTTCAGGCTCAGCCTGCTGCCCGTGCACTGCGCATGTCCTTGACTGCGGTCTGTATCCTCCGCCGTCTGGGAATGTCCGGAAGAACAGGATTCTGCCTTTTTTGAAGAGCCTAAGTACTATAATATTGAACCATCTTACTAATCTGTCATTGATGGGCTTGCGGAAAAATGTGGGGAAAATGATTTTAACTAAAGATTAGAGTCAGATCTTGAGTGTTCATTTTTTTTTGGGGGGGGAGTATTTTTGTCTTGTTTTGTTTTGCTATAGGGCGTGTGCGTTCGCCAGAAAGACAGAGAGAGACCGAGAAAAAGAAATCACTCTCTGGGGGGGATGGCCACTTCACAATCCCTTCTCCTCCATTCTCCTCCTAGGATCTTGGGCACGCGCACACACACACACACACATACACACATCCACACACGGCGTGAGTTTAAGCCACTGGATCTGGGACTCAAACTGCGGTCGACTACATGGGAGTCCAGTGACATAGCCATTATGCCAACTGCTGGTCCCTAGCAGAGCGTTTTGAAATAGCACAATAATGGGGCCAGCTGGTGGCATGGTGGTTAAGGCAGTTAGATCCTACATGGCTGGCTATGTGGTTTGAGTTCTGGACCCAGCAGCTTTGAAAACATACCAGGTGCGTGTACATGCATTTCTTACTTTCCCTCTCACTGTCTCTCTCTGGTGAGTGCATTGCCCTATAGCAAAAACCTAAAAAAAAAAACAACAACAACAACAAAAAAACAAACCTATGGATTCATTAAATATTTTAGCATTGAAATATTAAATTCATACTTTAGTTTTATTTTTCCACAACGTTTTAAAGATCCCTCGTAAACCAGGCACTGTTCTACTTCACTTAATCCTCCCGATTACCCGGTGACACCAGTACTGCTCTTAGCACTCCTTTATTCCCCATCCACCCAAGGACGCGTATGCTCACCAGAGACAGAGGAAGAGATGCAAAGTGAGAACGCACCCCATGGGGAATGGCCATGCTACAATCCCTTCTCCATTTCTCTTTTTGGGATTTTGGACACACATACACACGTCCCTGGTGCATTTTTCATGCCACTGAGCCTGGGATTTGAACAGCAGTCACCACACCACTCACTGGTCCCTAGTTCTCCCTATTTTATACATGAGTAAATTAAAGGGAAAATAAGCGTATCGACTTGCTTACCTTTACGGACCCATAAGGGGTAATGCCACGGGTCGGATTCTAGTGCCTGCTCATCATGCAGTGGTTAAGCACCCTCCAGAAGAGGCTGATCAGGGTTTGAATCCCACCCTAGCGTCTTGAAAAGCATGCCAGGTGTGTGCATGCCAGCTCAGGATCCTCATGGGAGGGAGGTTGGGAGGGAAAAGGACTGCTGTGTGACCAGGCCTTGTTGGGGTGGGACGCTTTCTCTTCTCTCTGTCTCCTCATGTGCACACATGTGCCCCCTGGCATGAAAAACAACAAATGGGGCCTCTTTCATAGCCTAATGATTAAGGAAGCCCCCATGGCTGACTGGTTGAGTCCTGGCTTGAAGGTTTGAAAGACACACATGGAGGACAGCAGGTGGCATGGTGGTTAAGGCGCCGGACATTCCCACATGGCCTATCATCGTTCAAGTCCCAGACCTAGTGGCTTGCTTTCTCACTTTCCTTCTCTCTTTGTGTCTGTCTTTCTCTGGTCAAATTAAAATAAATGAATGAATAAATCAAATTAAATAATTCTTTAAAAGAAAAGAAAAATACACATGGTGCCTGTGTGTTTGTGTCCATAATCCCACAGGACTTGGAATTGGGCGAGGGACTTTCAGCATGACCACACCCCAGCGGAGGCTCTCTCTCTCTCTCTGATAAGTGCACCCGCCCTCTGGCAATTAAAACAAACAAAACCAAAGCAAAACAACAAGAATCCATGGCTCCTACCCTTAACTACCTTGCAGTACCCCTTGCCATACATACACGCTGAGCCTCACTGAGTTTGGATTCATCTAAATAGGTTTAGAGTTAAACATTAGACCCACTGACACACGCTTTTCTTATTTACCTTTCTCTGGGCCTTCGTCACCAGCCCCGGGACCAGTTCCTAGGAGGTCACGACCTTCCATGTGTGCTTGGAATTCCCTAACACACCGGCGAGGCGGCTACGCAGCGTGGATGACAGCGGGGCTTACAGCTGCTCTGGAGCTGCGGCGTTTGCCGCGTTCAGTTTTAGCCGCTCCTGGCTGTTGTTTTGCCTCCCCGCCGGGACGGTAAACACCTGGAGCACAGGACAGGGTCTCTTTCCGTGACCCTCGCAGTGCCTAGGCCCGGGCTGGGACGCCAGGGGAGCTCATTAAAAGTTGTTGACGAGCCGCGGCGTCCTCCGCCCTGCGCGGGCCCTCCCCGTCCTCGCCGACCACTGCGCTTCCTCCTGCGGGCCCCGCCCTCCCCGCGCCCTTTACCCTGCGGCCCGGCGCCCCCTCGAGGATTCGCTGCCGCACGCCCCTCTCGCGGCATCTTCAGCGTCCCCTAGCCACGAGGCGGCGGCTC